GTGCCTAGGGTCTGTGGTGGAGGAGGACATGGGCAGTCCCTCGCCCCCCACTGCCTGCCTGCGCTGCTCTCCTGCCCTGTGGCAGGCCTGGCATGGCTCCGTTGAGCTCCCCTCGAGCCTTGCAGGGAGCAAGGGAAGGAAGATCAGCAGCCTCCGTCCTTGTCCCTACTCCATCTTCCCTTCCCTCTCCATCTCCCCTCAGGTTTTGCCCTTCCATCTCTTGCTTCCATGCCTTCCCGCCCCATCTCCCCTCAGCTCTTCCCCTCAGTGCCTTCCCGCCCCATCTCCCCTCAGCTTTTCCCCTCAGTTCCTTCCCGCGCCATCTCCTCTCAGCTCTTCCCCTCAGTGCCTTCCTGCCCCATCTCCCCTCAGCTCTTCCCCTCAGTGCCTTCCTGCCCCATCTCCCCTCAGTGCCTTCCCGCCCCATCTCCCCTCAGTTTTTGCCCTCTCTCTCTCCCCCCTCAGTGCTTTCCCCTTCCATCTCCCCTCAGTGCCTTCCTGCCCCATCTCCCCTCAGCACCTTCCCTTCCACCTCACCTGCCCCCTTCACCTCTCCTCCCCTCAGCACCTTCCCCTCCATCTCACTTCTGCCTTCCTCTACCCTTTCCCCACCACTCCCCTCAGTGCCAGCCCTCCAGCAAGGTCTCCAGGGCAGCCATGGTGCAGTGGCAAGCCTGGGCCTGCCCGCTTGGCCAGGGACCCAGCGCCATTGCTCTGTGTGCACAGCCCTGTGCAGCACAGGTTGCCTCTCCTGTGCCACTCTGCATGGGTAGGTACTGGGCCTGTCCTGAGGTAATATGGACACACCAGAAAGCATTGGCTTCTCTGAGGTAGTACGGCCCCGCATCTATTGCAAGGAGACCAGTTATCGGGATCCTTCCCATCCCTTCACAGTACCTCAGCCCTGCAAATGCAGGTGCTGAGGGGAACTCCCCTCTACCTTTCCTTCCATCTTCCCTCCCCTCTGCCTTCCCCACATCCGAGCACAAAGGTACATGTGGAACAGCTTCTCCTGGGTGTTCTGGGGACAGCGCAGTCCTCAGATCTCCTGCCCTTGCTGCTGTGCTGTGCTGTGCTGTGCTGTGGGTGTTTCAGCAGCCCCCCCAGCCAGGGAGATGAACGCGTCTGCTTCAGAGGTGAGCCTGGATGAAAAGCCTTTGCAGGGACTCTAGCAACAGTTGCTGAAGCAGTGCACCTCTTATTTGTCATCCTCTCCCTGGAAATAACAGAATGTTTAATCTCACTTTGGTTGCTTTCTCCCCCTCCCTGCCTGCCTCTTCCCTTCTCTCCTGATCTATTTGGATGTGAAATTTGGCAGACGCTCGCGGTTGCATTCAGGTTGGGATGAAATTGGGCTCCCAGGAGGCTGCTCCCGCGGCGGATCCCTGGGCTGAAGGCAGCACTTCTCTGACTGCCGCTAATGATCTGATTTCAAAGTGCCAGCAGCAAGGGTTTCGCAGTGATGGTTATTACTAACGCTGTGCAGCAGCCAGCAGCTCTCCAAAGCCCGCGTGGGGATGAAAGGGATGGTGACACAGGGCAAAAAGGCAAGGAAAACAGCAACAGCAGCAATGGGATGTAAATAATTCATCCAGACTGAAGAGGGAGTGCAATGGTTTTTGTTTGAGAAAAGCTGAAGGAAGGGGATTACCTGTGGCTTGTGGCAGTTGTCATTAATGTTATTGTGATAAAACCTGACTTGCCAGCCAAAATCAGAGCCCGGTGGTAGTGGCTGCCCTGATCTACATACAAAGAAAGTCATCTTCTGAGAGGACCTCCCTGGGGTATCAGGATGAGGAGGGGCACCATTCACCTGGTTCCAGGAGGATGCTGAGTGGTGAGGTGCTCCTTGGCAGCAGATGATTTTATTCTGAAGGGCTACTGTCCCCAGGCGAATCCCTTATGCTCTTACTGCTTCTGTCACTTCCCTCTTTACCCCCTTTTCTGTTTATACTGACAGTCTCGAGCTCTGCTGTGCCCAGCAGAGTCTCAGTGGATCTTCTACCTGCAATTCACAGTAAGAATACTAAGAACAACTTTCCACAGTCCTCTGAAGGTTTCACCATGTCTTGGAGGCACATATCTTTTGAAAATAAACATAGCATGAATTCACCATATAGAAAATTTGCAAGCCCAGAGAATTAGACCTGAGCCCGTTCACACAAGCAAATAGAGAAGTGGATCCAAATGGGGAGTTTGCCTTTAAAACAAGCAAGAAAGCAGCTTAATTTGCTATGAAGCAGTAGTATTATTTAAACATTTCCTTTGCCTTACATATTCTCAAGCAAGTGTGCTCTATAGGCAAGGTTATTTATTTTTTTTTCAGATTAGGTACTGAGTTATTGACTTTGTTATAGAGGAATGATAATTAGAGGGACAAAGACAAACTGAATCACTGAGGACCAAATAGTAGCAGATTGCAATCACAGGAACAGCTTGGGGAAAAATCCTGTCCCTCTTGCTATGAATTGTGAAGGGGTTAGACCGAGCTGGAGGGGTCAGGGCGATGGGAAGGGAGTGCCAAACGCCTCTGGCTGTGGCAGCTCCTTGTTCCTTGTCAGCCTGTGTCCCTAGGAAATGGGCTTTCAGAGATAAGCAGCCAGCCCGTTTGGCCTTTGGTTATTCACTGTATTTAAAACTGCTCATAATTAAAATGAATCCTCTTGATTATTATTCATGTAGACCAGCAGTGCAACACCTCAGCACCGGCTGCCTGGCATGACAGGGCTGAGATTAGGAGCCCAGACTCCTGCTCACCAGTCCAGTGTTCAAACCAGGAATCATTTCCTGCAGCACTCCAGGATGGTTACAATTAGGATTGTTTTGTTGTACAATAGGGCTGCCTTTAAGCATCCGTAGTTCTTCTGGAGGATACCTTCATACCCAGGAGTTCCACATCATTTAAATGGTCTTTATTTCTTGAGACACGTGCTGGTTTGAGGGTGATGCAGGAAGGCTGCTCCCCAGGGTGCAGTTATGTGCTGTGCTGAAAGCAGCTTGGGGCATCTGTGGTGCAACTGTCAGCATTGCTGATAGGCCTGCAGGAGAAGGTTGCCATCCCTTACAATCCTTGTCATGTTCATATTTAAAATCCCTGGCAGCTGTGATCTGGTGAATAATTCAGTGGGACCCATCATCGATAACAGAGAGATTTTGAAGGGTTCTTTGGGTGGAACTGGAAGTGCCTGCATTCTGAGGAACGAGTATATTAAAAATTGACTTCATGCTATCAAGCTAAAACTCATACTTAGCCTTTTAAATTTTTTAATGTAATGTCATATTTATTCTCTCTGACTTCCAGCTATCAAGGCACAGTCTTGCAGTCGGACTCTGAAGCATCTGTGGGGATCCTAATGAGCAAATTCAATAGCAGAATGGATACAGGCTCTGAGACGTGTGTCATTTCCTGTGCCTATTGCTCCTGCCAATACAGCTGGTGGAATAAGGTAATTTATCTTTATCCTGAAGTTGGCTGAACTGTGTGTTTAATTTATTTATACTATTGACTCTGTGGAGGGCTACCCTGGTGTGAAATGTCATCTTGAAGTGCTTTCTCCCACAGAAATGCAGGCTCTATATTAATGCAAACACTGCTTCCTCTGATGTATTTTTCAACACTTGCCTAAACTGAATAGCAAAATATGTACTCAGACTTGAACTTGATTTAGTTAAAAGGTCCCTAAGCTTACCCTGACGTCTTGTGGGTGTGTGAAAGCAGCAGGGCTTGCAGGGCACCAGGTTTCTCAAGAGCAGGCTCTGAACAGGCAATAAAAGCACAGAGTGAGAGTCTCTTTTCCTTTCTCTTTCCCTTCTCTCCTTTTCTCTCCCTTTCATCCTCCTACATGGCAAATTTACTCACTGCATCCACTGGACATTTAGACAGTCATGAGCTGTAATTTCTGTGTTTGCAGGCTAGTGCAAAGGAATAATTGTTTTCCTGTGACTCGCCATATGATCACAGGTTGTCACTTCACCAAGTGTTTTTCTCCTGACAGTTATTAGTGTTTGTATGGATCTCCAGAACACCAAGTGAGACATGTTTGATTGCAAAGAAGCCTGAAGGTGGGGCCTATAAGCAACTGTTGAACGCAAGAGAAAAGCCCCACCAGCCTCAAGGTCCCTCCCTGCAGGAGAGGCAGGCTGGCTGGGGAAGGTTGCTGTGTTTGTCTTGTTGTGTTGGGTTCATGTTGGGTGCACACTGTGCCAGCTTCATAGCCCTTCCTCCGAACTAACATTCTGTGGATGAGGGGGCCCAGCCACAGCATTCCTGGGATGAACACCTTTAACTGTACAAAATGCAGGACCAAGTTTTCCTGCTGATCCTGGCCAACGTTCTGTAGCTGGTGTCTGGTTTTAGGCTCCCTCTGCGGTTTTAAGCCCTCAATTTTTAAAAGCTATGAGCCCCCCGTGCCTGTCCCAGGCCCAGCAGACCTCACCTTGCCTTGCCACGGGGTGCTCTTGCTTTGAGCTTTCCCTGCAAAATCCAGTTCTGGGATGGGGTAGGCATTTGCTGTGATTTATTTGTTTCAAGAGGTTATTTAGATGTGGGGTTTTTTTTACTTTGGGTTTTTTTGTTGTTGTTGTTGGTTTTGATGGGTTGGTTTGGTTGGGTTTGTGTTTTAACTGAGTTTTGAACTGGCTTGTTTTGAGGTTTGTTTTGTTTTGAGGTTTGTTTGGGCATTTGTTTAGGTTTAAGGTTTAGTTTGTTTTGAAGTTTTTATTTTGTTTGGGGTTTTGTTGTGTTCTGATGGTTTTGGTTTGAGGTTTCTTTTGAGGTTTGTTTTGGTTTGGGGGTTATTTTGGTACCGCCTTGCCTTGTTTGCAGTTTGGGGTTTCTCCAGGGTGCTTTATTCCGGGCTCGGCTCAGCGCACCCTTGCTCAGCTCCGGGCCGGGCCTTGCCGGCCGCCGGTTCCACCGGGGCGGGGGCGCCGCGGCGCCGCCAGGGGGAGCCTGTGCCCGCGGGGGGCGTCGGTGGGGCGCGGGCGGCGCCGCCGGGGCTGGAGGCGGCGGAGGAGGAGGCGGCGGTCCCGGTGAGCTCCGTTTCCGCGTTGTTCAGGGGGCGGCTCCGGGTCGCAGCGTGGTCCCTGGCGGAGCCGGCTGCTCGTTTTGCCGGGGCAGCTGGGCCGGAGGACAGGTGGGTACGCGGGAGGACGCCGCGCAGGGCGGGGACGGTGCAGCTCTGTACCGGGAAGGCGCCCGGGCACTTCGTGCGGAGTTTGGAGCCGAGTTTCGGGTGTTGGTACGTCGTGGTTGTCCGGATACCGGCGGCGAAAGCGGCATGCTGGGGCGGGGGAGAAGCTGTTGCGGAGCACTGAGGCACCCAGACCTGGAGCTCCACAGGTGGGAGAGGCTTGTCCAAAACGCTGCTCAAAGCAGCCCAGAAACGCAGCAGGGTTGAGTCGAGGTGGAATTCAGCCTTCTGAAGGTAACTGAATGTAAGTGACCGAGGTGTGTGGGGAAACAAGCCAGAAATGGGAGGCTGAGAGCAACGTGCTCCTCGGAAAATATTACCAGCCTGGCGGGGTTTTGACTACTGCTGGGTTTGTGCTTGTTGTGTGGTTGGAGCAGGCACGTGCACCTGGCAGAGGATGGATTGTCCTTGTTCCTTTTGGCACCCTGACACCGGGAGATGGGTGCTGTTGTATGTGCAAAAGAATGACGTGCTGTGCTCATCCTCAGGGTTCTTAAGTCTCCTGTAGCTCGGGTCAGGTACTCTCCAGGACCTGGTCAAAGTCCACGGCTTGATTTCTGCTTGTACCAACAATGTTCATTCAGGGTGATAAGGGTCTTAAGAGTCAGAACTGGCTGTGCTTATGTGTTGCTCAGAGGCTTCCTAGGATGTTTAAACCCAATACTATAGCTTAAGGATGCTGAGAAAGGGTATTTAATCCTCCAGAGGTGATGGCAGGCCCGTGGCTCAGAGCCATGGTGAACAGTGAGATTTTGGCAGGGTTGGGGGTCAGGCTGCTCAGTAGTTTCCCCACTGGCCCTGGCCTGTGCTTTTCCTGGCTCACTTGAGGTTACCCGTGAGATAGGCTGGCATGAGTTTCCCTGCAAGGGATTCATTGACAAACGCTGGCCAGTGCTTCCCTGTGATGTCCAATTCTTTCTAAGAAACTCATTGCTCCTCGGGAGGCTGGGAGGAGCTCATTCCACCCTGCCAACCTCCAGCTGCAGGAAGCCTCCTGAGCTTTTTAGCATATCAGAATAGTGAAGTGAGTCTCTCTAATTGGCCATTTAGATGCTAATTTGCTTCTCGTAGGCCTCTGCCAGATCAACCTGCCCCAGAATGTGAGTTAGTGTGCTGTCTTCATGAATTATTCACTTTGCACAACGCACCTGCCTGGCTGGAGATCAGAAGAAAATAGGGCCAAGGTCTAGTAAATAAAGATACACCTTGGCAGGTGGAACAGTGCTGGCTTTCCTCCCCAGCATCGTAGGGTGCTTGGGAGCAGGAATACTGCTTTGCCTGGCCAAAAGCCTGTTCTTTATAGATTGCCATATATCAAGAAGCCATGCTAATAGGTGCCTTTCATTAATACAGGTTTGTTGGTGCTGTATGTCCGTTTTCCTGTAGAGCTGATTTTATCTTCCCACTCATGGGACTGGCATGGACCTCCAGGGCATTGTATTTTATAAGCTGTTCAATGAGCTCCATCTTAAAAGCAGTTAGGTTTCTTGCCACTACTGCTAGGATTGGGAAGCAGCTCAGGCACATAGGAACTTTCTTTTTTTCCCCTCCCAAACCTCATTCTCATTTGCTCCTTTTCCAGCTCGGCCTTACATGATGATGACTCCTCTCACTTTCTATGTGTTTAATTTGGGCTGTGCCAATCAGATCCCAATACATGGTTCTGAATGAGGTTTTTCCTATTTTGCTGGCACTGTTGCTTAGATTGAGCTTTCATGGTGAGACAGACTGGAGGTCTGCTTGACTGGGTTCTTAAGTTGTTGCCCCAAAGCTTCCTAAGGCTTCGTGGTGTTTATTTGGACATTGCGTTTTCCTTGTCTGTGTTGCCCGAAGCCGCAGAGCTGCAAGTCAAGTGTGATCATACTGGATTCCTTGTGTTGCTTGGCTTTCCATGTGCTAAGGGTTTGAGCTCTTGTGGGGATTTGCCTTAGTAAGAAGTAGCAAAAGGCCATTTCTCAGCTGTGCCCCTGTGCACCGGCCCAGCTCTCCCTGAGAGCAGGAAGGTGATGAGGATTACTTGGCTTCACTGTGCTTGTGCTTCCTTCCTGCTTCACCGCTATAAAGTGTTTATGCTTATAGCAGGCTCCTTTGCTACTGGAGGGACTGACAGATTGCTACATAATGTAGGTGTGAAGAGGCAGTTCAAAATAGTTTGTCTGTGATAAATGCTTTAATAAACCCCTGATTCAGGCCAGCAGTTGTAGAGGCACAGTTACTCCCCTCCTCTGGCACTGAGACATGGCTGTATCTTGAAAGTCAAGTGTGTTGTCTTCTGCCACTGTCCTACAGCCCCAAGGGTTATTCTGTCACTTCAGAACAGTGGTGTGCTTTGAAATACAACTGTGGCACTAGGATCTTTAAAACATGAGGGGAAGACTTGTGTTTGGACTAAACAGCCTTTCCCTGCCTGTCGCGCTTGTCTCCCTGCTGCACGACTAAGTGTCTGTGAGGAAAAGGGACTGGCCATCGGTGGGTGGGAGGCAGAGGCCGGGCTAACCTTATCTATCTCTGCTACTCATTTATCCTCTGTCGTAGCAACAAGAGCAAACACTCACTTTGTTGCTAAGGTTTCCTGGGGATAATGGGGTCTGGAGCAGAGAGTAATTACACTGCCTCTGTGAGGGAGCAGCAGCTAAAAGGAGAAACAGGCCAGCACGGTACCTGGTGCAAGCTGGGAGTCCTGGGGGGGCTGACGCCCTGGAAGCAGGCAAGTTAATTACACTGGCACAGCTCGGGTTGGGAATTGGGAACCAGTCTCTGGCCAACTGTTTAATTTTTATTTTTTAAATGAAGTATTAAACAAAAAATTGCCTAATTAATTTCCTATAAACCCAAATTAATGTAGACACGAGCTGCTTAGCTGAAATAACGGGGCAAATGAATGACTAGAGACCTCCTTATGGGCCTGTGTAGGACATTTTTATATTTGCAGGGCTCCGAGGATTTAATGCTTCGTGATCACCTGTAATCAGCCCAGCGGCAGGAGGGCTCGTGCAGGCTGTGCATTCGCTGCTGGGAGGAGGTGTTTTCTACTGCAAGGATTGCCTCAATGTCAACAAGACCCTCAGGTTTAACTTTGATGTAGTCAAGATAAAGTCAAAATGTGTTTGGGGTGGAGAAGTGGGGAAGTGATTCGGTGTAAGAAGACGATGCTACAAATGTACATGAGCTGAAAAAGCAAGCTGATAAATTTGGAACAGAAAACTGTTAAGGGTGTTAAATACAGTTACAGCCTGGCTTAGGGAGTGCATGATCCAGGAATCTTTGGAGTCTGGGAGTGTATTCTGGAAAAGTATTGCTGTGTTGTGCTCTGTTCTATTAGTTTTCCTTAAGTGTCTGTTCTTGGAGCTGGTCAGGTAGCATGTGCCCTGCACACAGGACCTTTGCCATGACCTACTGTGACTGTGCTCTGTTATTAAAGACGTGTGATGTTTATGTTGCTATTCTGCTGAGAAAACTGTCCTTCTTTCACAGACGAGCCTGGAGGATGTGCTGCCCCACAGCTGGCTGCAGCCACCTTCATCCTCCAGGCCAAGCAGGGACTGTCCAGTGGGAAAGATCTTGCTCAGCTGACTGTCTTAGGGTCACTCTACAGGGATGTGGGGCCAAATCAGAAGCATGACCCTGCAGCTTTCCCCTTCACTCAGACCCCACTGGAAGACTTCTCCCTTGTCTGAGTCATGTACTCAGGTGCCTTGCTCTCTGGCTGCAAAGTCCAAGGCTCATCACGGAAGCAGCAGAAGCAGTCATCAGAGCTTAAGGCAGAGGTGTGCTCAGTTCTGCATCCTCCAAAATGCTCCTAGCCCTCATCAAAGGGTTTGCTTGCTGCAGGATAGCACTCCTTCCTTGCTGCACTCCCCTTAGCATCTGTGCCAAGGGCAGCCAGGTGGACTCAGATTTAATGAGGTTTTGTTTCACATGATTTCCTCCATCATAGGAAAGGGATAAACAGGTGAAGTGTTTTTCAAGCAGGTCACAGAGTATTGATAAGAACTGCCTTTTAATTCTTAAGTAAAAAGCAGAATCTTGGAGTGGGAAGTTTGCTTCTATAATGCTGAGTACTTGTGCAACCCCCTTATTCTGTATGCAGTGTATTTGCAGCTGGGCCAGGAGCTGTGGATTTCTCTTGTTCTCTCACTGCTAGAGATGGGCTGCTTCTGCCCTTTGTTAGATTGTTGAGAGGAGCAGAGGACAGGGATGGCTCAGTGAGCTACGTGTTAGCTGGAGTATTTTTGAGAGAGAACGTAGTAGAGGCTGACTGCAAGAGAGGGGTGTTTCACCACAGCCCATAGAAATGACTCCCCAGGCTGGGGAGGTTCTGCTCTCTTAGTGTTTCTGATTAGGCTGATTCCACTGTACTTCTTGTCCTGTACAGAGATACAAGGGAGGATGTTTCATGCCTTCCAGATACTGGTACCATTTCTCTGGCATCATTCCCGTGGCCATGCAAGATAATCCTTTCCATGCAGTCTTACTAGTGCCAGCAGACTGTGGCCTGCAGTCCCCATTCTTTCCTTCTCTGAGGTAGCTGTATCGAACCACACCAGGCTTTTTTCAGAAAAAGGTGCAAAGCCACCTTCAATGCCAATTTACCTCAGAGGGAGCAGCAGATACCCAAAGCTGCCAAAAGAAAATGCTCCTGTAAATATTTTATGGAATAATCAGTCTGAAGACTGTTTTGGCAGTTGGTCTCTAGGCTGTGCTTTGTTTTCCTTCTTTCTTTCAGATGCTGCTCAGGGAATGGAGAACAGAAAGCTTATGCTGAGTAACAAGAGGCAAAAGAGCATGACATTGCTTGTTTTTGTTCAGTCATGCTGAGAAAAGCGCACTGTGGTATGAGGCTGAAGAATGTGCTTAGGTCTCTCCTGAGTAAAATGCTCAGCTGATGTGCTCTATTCTGCCTTGCCTTCAGCTCTGTTAGAGCAGATAAAGCTCTGCTGAGAAAGGGGCAGATGTATTCAGCACAGCTTTCCACCCTGAAAGCACAGCTGCTGGCAAAGCAAACTCCTCTGCCCTAACCATGGTATCGGGCTCATCTCCAGCTCTAGCTTTTATGTTTGCTTAAACATCTCACAGCTGCCAGTACTGCTCGCATCAGTATGGTTGAGTGCATTTAGCCTTGCCAGTGGACACTGAGTGCTTCAGGTGCGTGTGAGTGGGAGGGAAGGTACATGGTATATCTGAAGAATAATTTAATATATGCATTTGTGAGGCTACATGTGCATATAATTCTGTAACAATGCACCACAGGCTTGGAAAATCTCTGGAAAATGCCAGGTCTGCCATTCTCTGTGAAATTGTAGCTTTTCTGCTTTTAACAGTGGCCTGGGGGTGGGAGCGTCCGGATTCTATTGCTCTTAATGCTTGATTGCTCCCCTGTGTGTGAGCTGTTATGGGATGTGTGTGGGGACTGCTGCCTTCTCCCCTTGCTTGAGATAATGAAGAAGACACAAAGAGCAGGAGGTGTTCTGGGATAAAATGGGAATGCCACAGCATGTGTGGCATTTGTTGGTAAGCCAGGATGCCAGCCTTCAAGGATTCATTCTAGGGCTGATCCATTTCAGAACTAATGTAGGAAAGAAAAGTTTATAAAATCCTGTGTGATGCTTCTGTTTGTCCTTGCTGTCTCCACCCTCTTTCTCTGCCAAATCTTTCCTGCAGCCTCTCATCTCCTCCATACTTCATTTTGGCATGCAGTTGGACTGTGCCTGCTGAGCATTATGCTGAATTGTTAGAGCCTTCACCCTTTCTATGCATCTGTCCCCTTGCACCGAAAGAAATCTGTGCTTCCTGTGGGATTCCTCCTCTTTTCTCCTGCCTGTTGTAATCTCTGAGTGTTCAGACTTTCTCCCGAAACTGGATGATCTGAGAGGAGGGAACTGGTTCATTGTTTGTAACAGTTTTGGCTCTCAAGGCTGATGGGAGGTTTGGCAGCAGAGAGCTGTCAGTTCTCTAGCACAAGTTAGCATTCTTGTGCTGGGGACCAAGTGTGGTGTGGCACATGTGAGCTCAGCACAGGGAGGGAGATGAATTTGCAGAAGCTGCCTGTGTCAGAGGGCCAAGGCCATGCAGCCTGTGATGCCTCCTGCCTGGCACAGAAGCAGAAACCTCTGTGTGTCAGCCATAGATAGCAAGCGTGTAGGTACAGCACACTGAGCCACGGGCACTGCTGTGGTAAGAGTGCTGTGGATTGAGACTGGAACATGTGTTTTCTTGGGAACTACTGCACAGTTGGCAGGTGATATACCTGGCCTGCTATTGTATCTGATCTGTGTTTGCCAAACAGAATTAAACATGTTATCTCTGCCCAGCAGATATGGTTTCAAAGCTAGAAAGTGTCTGTTCTAGGGAAGGTAAGTATTAATACCTGGAAATTTATGCACTAGGGCTTGTGAGACACTTGGTCTGCTGGAGAGCAAATCCAGCTGAAGAAAAGCTCTGTACATCAAGGCTAATTTTGCCCCCACTGTAATTTTTGGCTGTGTCTGTCCCTTGGTGCTTTCCGTTCATCTTTGCTGCTGGTAGGACTCAGAATTGCTTAGTCGCAAAGTCTCTTGGGGATGTGTTTCTCCTATGAGTGTGTGGAAGTTGGTTTTCGCTGCCTTTACTCACCAGTTCACAGTGATACTGTCATTGAACAAGGACTCACTGGTGTGATTGTGCCAGTCACAGGAGCCTCAGTAAGAGGGTCTGCTGCTAGAGGTGCTGTCTTAAACATCAGAGAATGCAAACAAGCTGCTGGTGTAGACTGTAGTTATAAATATCAGGTTATTATGGAAGCAGTTTTAATGAATGAAATGTCTTGCCACCTATTCATGCTGATTGTCAAGTGTGTTTTTGTTTGTTACCCTATTAAGAGGTAAACAAAAAAGCAACTTGTAGCTTCTTTGTGTCCTTTAGAGTGGCTTTCACTGTCAGTACTGCAGCATTGGGGCTCCAGAGGTGATGGAGCAGAGATTGTTCTTAAAAACAACACTTTTCTCTTGTTTGAAGTGAAAAATCTGAACTGACAAGGAGTCTCTGGCTTTGTATTTTTTAGAGTACTATAAAATATAAACTTCCAGCCATGTCTTCAAGGTATTTGAAGGTATCTATTGCCTTGTATTTTATGAGGATGAGGGTGTTTTTTTGTCACTGTCTGTAGGTGAGAGTCTGTCTACTTCCACCATGCGTAATGCCAGCAGAGCAGCCTTTTGGAATGGTTAAGGAGGCTGTGCCAAGCACTGCCCTGAGATTTCTCCAGGGTGGAGTGGAAGCTGTATTCAGTGCTGGTGTTTTCTTCTTACAGGTGTGATCCCTGCCTCTCCTCCCAGCCTGGTGCCATGGCTGACATGATATTTGGCAGCGGGACGGGCCAGTGGGTGTGCCCCAACGACCGGCAGCTTGCACTGCGTGCCAAGTGAGTCCTCACCATACTCCTCCTCTCCTCCTAGCATTGGCTCTGGCCTGAATGGTTTCCTGGTATCTGTGTGGAGCACTGGCCTCATTCACAGGAGTTTGTTTGTCATGCAAACCCCTCTGTAGCCTAGAAGTATGCTGCTTGGGTGGGAGAGGAGCCTGCTACACTGGGGCTCCGTGCTTGGCTGCTGCTCAAAGCTGCCAGCCTACAGTGGAATTTGCAGTTTAGCTGCTGTGTGGTGTGTTCCATCCCACCAGCCCTCCCCTGGGTGAAAGGAAGGGCTTGGAGGCAGGCATATATCTCTGCAGCACCCTACAATATAATTGATAGCATCCCCCAGCTGCCAGCACTCTTTTGTATTAGGAACTTGTCATTTGATCTCATTTCCCCTGAAGTTAAATTACTGCATAACCTAAAGACAAAAGGGATGGAGATGAGTCAAGCACTACAATTGCATTTGTTTCCTGTATACTTTTCTTCTCTGGCAGCCAGTGTCATGCCACTGCCACCTCTGCTATTGTCTGAACCATTGGGGTCAGCCTGCTATAGTGTTAGAAAACAGGAGGTCACACTGTATCTGGGGAACTGCAGTGCCCACCACTGCTGCTTCACCAGCCTTCACCTGAGAGCCTCATTAAGACAGCTGTGTCTGATAGTGCCCTGCATTATGCAGCAGCTGTGACTTTAGCCAGTGACCTCTAAACCCCTACTGAATGGTAATTAATTTTGCTGTGAAAGCTCCTGCCTGTCCCCAGGTGAGCTGAGGAGCAATGTCAGCCATTGTATGTGAGGCACGGAGGGAAGTGGATGCTGAAGTCCTTGTGGGGGCCTGTGTTAGGCCAAGGGAGGAAGTTGCTGAATTCATATTTCCATGCGTGGCTGATGATTTGTGTGTTTGAATTGAGGACCTTAGAAACATGCCATCTGGAGAGAGGAGGGTGCAGGTAATCCCTGTGTTCCAGAGTCTGCCTTTGGCATTTGTAGTGTCTGCCATCAGTACTCATCCTTGCAAGGATACCTCCAGGATGGCCATCCTTAGGCACACTAGTCTTTCTTTATGGACAGAGCAAAATAGGAGTGAGGACATGGAGTAGTAAAATATGAACTGGAGCAGAGAGAAAAATGAGAGGGCAGGGAGAGACAGCGCAGACTCAGTGTTGCAGGAGGAGTGATGTGGTGATCTGGTCAGTGAGAAGAGACTCTTATTTTGGGCATTAGCTAGGGAACAGACTTCTCTGATGGAAGGCTGATGTCAGCTCTATGTGCCTGGCAGGCTTGGCCTTGTGGATCATGGCAGGGGTTTTGTACTTTTCTTTCACAGCTTAATTCTTCCTTCTGCTCTCCCCTACACCATCATCCCCAGGCTTCAGACAGGCTGGTCAGTGCACACGTTCCAGACTGAGAAGCAGAGGAAGATGCAGGCTCTGAGCCCACAGGAGCTTGAGGTCATTCTGGAAGTCATCCGCAAGGCAGAGAAATTGGACATCATTGAGCAGCAGCGCATCGGGTACAGTCATGTTCATTTGTCCCCTTCCCTCAGAAGGAAAGGTCAGCTCAGACAGAGGAGTGGCTCTCCTGGCTGCCTGAGCTCAGCCTCCATCAGTCAGAGCATCCCTTAAGTCAGTTATTTTATCCTCCCGTGTTGCTTGTTTGGAGACGACGAATGTTGGGAAGGATGTGGTGTTTTCCTTCTGCCTCTGTCTCAAGCCTTTCTTGTGCCTTCTTTGAGCCTTGGGGCTTGCTGTGATTGCAGCCACTGACACAGTGCCTGGTAAATGCAGCCCCTGCTAAGGCAGCTGCCCCAGTGGCTGCCCAGTGGAAGAGGCTGGGGAAGATGTTGATTTATGCAGTGGCACCCACTGCTAGTGGACTCTGTGGCTCAGGAACTGCTCCTGGTGGCACGGTGAGGTTTTCCCTTGTCTGCAGCAGCCCCCTGGGATTTTGCCTGGGGCAGTGAATGTGTTTGTTCTAGTGGCTGAGCCCTCTGGAAGGGGTTTGCTAGCTTGAATTATCTAATTTATGGGCATCTTTTTGCTGCTGCAGATTTCCATTTGCTTTCAGTCCTGCTGGAGGTCTTATTTGTGAGACAGGAAGCTCCCAGCCCATGTCCAGCAGGCTCAGCTCCCTGCCTCTGTGCTTTGCTCTGTCCCTGTGCAGTGCCTGTTAGTGCTAACAAGACCTGACACTGATGTTTGTGTGATATAATGGAGACCCAGCAGCCCCAGAGGCAGCCAGCAACCCCGAGGGGCTGATCATTCTGTGTGGTGGTTGGTGTAATTGTAGAAGGTGATAGCCTTGCTGTGCCCATGCTGAAGCATTCTCTGAAATGCCTGTGTTAAGTCCTGGGAATTTTCTTGTGCTGAAGTCAAGAATTATAAATCTACTAATGATGGCTCAGCCTGGCTGTGCTGTCTGACCTCATCACCATAGGCAGTACCTCTTTTAAACAGACCTTGCCTTCCTCTCAGTACGGGCCTTAGTTGATGGGACATTAGTGCTAATGAGGATGAGGTTGCATGGACAGCAGGATTGCATTTCCTCCCTGAGCCACAGGCACATGTGTGGCTGTGGCTGGTCACTGTCTCTGATAAATGGCCTGGCTGTTAGTGTCCCCATCTACAAATGGATGCCTGAGAATTGCCAGGCAGTGATCTCATGACAGTAGCCCTGCTCTGCATGCTCTCCACATCCTGCATCCTAATTGCTTATCCCGCCTTCCTTCCCTTTTGTAGTCCTGCTGCTATGGGCATCGTGCATACATATGTGCTTCCTGTCTTCCAAGCAGGCTGTCAATCACAGCAGGGAGCAGTTTCTGGCATTCCTGTACTACAGCCAGGCTCATTTTGGTTTGATGGCTTCAAGTCTGGCCTTCCTGCTTGTAGTGGAATGTGGGCAAGTCATGTGCCTGCAGTGTGGCTTTCAGGGAATATATGTAAACATGGAGCAGAGCTTGGCAGGTCTAACTCCTCTGCCCTTTCCCGGTGTTGTCTGACTTGCCCTGATCTGAGCACTAAAAGCTTTTCCTGCTCTACAGGCAGGAAATCATTGTGCTGAAACTGTGGCCTCAGTGACAGTGGGCTCCTGAAGGGTGTAGGATCAAGCCCTTGTTGTAAGCTGTGCCCTGCCCCCACTATCTGAGTCAGACCTCTCAGCAGTGGTCAAGGTTTTTAATCAGGGCTTGGTGAGCATCAATAGATGGACTTAAACAGGTTTTTATCACCTGATGACCAAGAGCCAGCTGATAGGAAACACTTGAGTGTAGGGGCTTCAGTGAAAGTACATATGGCCCCCAGTAAGGGCCCCAAAACTGTTCAGAAGAAGCAAAGGTAGACTGAGTATGGAGCACCCGTCTGCAGGTTTTCGTCATGCCTCACTACCATGTGCTTCCATTTCCAAGGTGAGTGCTTTGACCTCTGCTCTGCCTCTTCCCCACAGGCGCCTGGTGGAGCGGCTGGAGAACATGAGGAAGAACGCGATGGGGAATGGCCTCTCGCAGTGCCTGCTTTGTGGTGAACTGCTTGGGCTGCTGGGTAGCACGTCGGTCTTTTGTCAGGATTGCAAAAAGGTGGGTTTAGTTACACAAGTTCCTGCATATTCCTGGTAGCAGACCTGTCTAGAAAGTCCACCAGGCCACTTGGAATCTGTCAGAGCATCAGGTTTCCTCTTGCACCCCTTATTCCTTAGGATCCTAAAATGCCTAAACTGTGCTTTGTGCACCAGCCCCCTCTGCATCTTCCACTCTGGGTTCGCAGAGTCTGAGAAGGGGCAGAAATGTACGACGAGCAACCAATAAAAGAATCTTTGTGCTTTGCTGTTACTTACTGCAAGATCTGCCCTTAGGCTTTCCAGTAATGCCTCTCTCTGGAGGAGTCAAGTCCGTCTTCAAGTTCCAAACCAGTGTGAAGTTTCCAACTGTGTGTACTGATGGCTGCCTGTGTTTGAGTATGTTGTTGGCAGGACTGTACGGGTGCTGTTTGAAAGGCAGTATCAGTTTTCAGGCAGATTGCTGTTCTGCTAGCACCCTGAGGGATAACTGTTGCTTGTCTAGACTCTGCAGCCAAGGGGTTAATCTGTATTGCTGTGGAAATGATGATCTCCAAGGCAACCACCTTATCCTCCCTCTGCTGGGAGGCTGTTTTTCCTGCACTTGAAGCCCATCTTTCCCTGGGGAGAGCACTCTGTAAGTGACTTTGCCTCAGCATGTTGCATGGGGAGAGGTGAGGGTACCTGCTGGGTGCAGGAGTGTTTCTGACTTGCTGGTGATACAGTGGAAGGGAGCAGCCTGTGCTGACTCTGTGCGTGGTGGGTACGAGAGCCAAGGAGACACTTGCTAGTGTCACCCACCCTGTCAATGAGGAGGTGTGCTGTGTATCTCACAGGACAGCACTGAGTAAAACCTGCTCCTTACCATGGAATGCTGCATGTTGACACCTCTGTGGTTAAGCCGCCACTCAGGCCATGATGGAGAACTTTTTGTGCTGGCATTGACAGCATTTGTGAAATGCAGTTCTCATGCAGAACAGGCTGCCAGGCTGGGCCTGCAGTGGTCCATGGTTGGCTGCAGCACTGCTGGGCTCAGAGCTCTTGTAAAAGAAGGAAGGTGGGTGGCCCTCGGAGTCAAAACCAAGGTCCCAGCAGCCCTCCACATGTGCTTGCTGTGCAGGAGCTGCTGTGAGCTGTGCTGCCTTTGCTGTCAAGTGAGTTTCTCCACTGGATTCAGTTTGCAGAAGTAGCTTGACTGAGGTAGGGGTTATAGTGGGGATTTCTTGTAAGGCAGTGACTGGGCAAATAAACACAAATCTTTGAACTTCTGGGTCCTGCACCAGTATTTTAGTAAGTGTTGGGGAAGCAGTAAGGTACTGAGAAGTTAAAGGTCTGGTTTGAACTGGGCTCTGTGCATGTGCATGTGTGCTTGTGGAGAATAAAGGGCTGGATAGCAGACAGGAGACGGCTGGCTGTTTCCTGCGTTTCAACCACATGGAATAACAGGATGTGCTGTATTCTTGCCTCCATCCCTTGATGATTCTGCTTTTACCTTGTCCAAAGCTAGCTAGGTCACATTGCCATAGTGCTTTGTAATCTTTCTGTGAGCCCTGTACACTAATGGGGAGGCAAAAACTGATTCAGCCATTTCCCTGCCCTGTCCACTTGCAGTTGCAGGTAGGAACTCCTAGCTGCAGGAGCCCAGGTGTGACTGGAAAACCCCTAAGAAGGGCTGAGATTTTAGGTTTTATTTTTTATGGTTATCCCCTTTTTCTCTGGAGTCTGTTCAGGAGCATTCATACCCAGGTGGTTTCAAGGTGAGACCCTACTTTTCCAGTGTGCATTTTGCAGCTGCCTTCTGCTTGTTTGCACTTTCCAGCTGCGTGCAAGCTCAGGGCAATGCTGACTGGGTGTCCTGGGCTTCTCCCCTTACTGTTTTGTAATGCTAACGAGTGAACTGGGGGAGCAGTCAACCCTTCAGCAGAGCACACACAGTAGACTGCTACTTTAAGCTTGTCCCTTCTCATCCAGGGATATCCATCACTCGTGCAGTGCTGTATGCAATAAGAAATGACTTGTCAGGGAATTATAGATTTTTAAAGTTCCTGTTCTTCTTGCTGGCTTTGCTCTGTTACCATCTCATTGCAGCTCACATAATTCAATAACAGGAATAATTGTAATGATGCATCTGAAACAGAAAAGAACTTAGCTTCAGCAAGTCCGTTCTGCTAAATGGAGGTTCTGTATTTCTTGCAGCCTGATGGATTTTCGAAGTGCCACACTCTGTTTTGCAAAGAATGTATTTAATATTAGTTTTTATTGTCTTAGATATAAATGCATAATGGCAAGACAAAGATGTATTCAAATCCAGATGTGTTAACAATAACAGTAGTTAGGCAAAGCCTAATGGGTCATTTATTGTGCGGGGGGTATCAGTGTCACGTATAAAAGGTGAAGTGCAAGTAGGAGAAGAAAGTCCCTTATTGTGTATTTAAATAGGAATGGGGCTGCATTTAATGTCCTTGATTTTTATGTCATCTTCTGAGGGGCTGTGAGTGATGCTCAATATAAACCCAGTTTATATCAGAACTGTCAAAATTTATGGCTAGGAATAAAATCGCTTGGAAACTTCCACTAGAGGGAGTGTTTGAATGTGCTATATGCGAGGGGATTGGGATCTTTGAGGGTATTTTAAGACTGGGTCACTCCCTCAGGTTTTGGTTTAAGGGAGGGAGAATTTGGGGTAGTTCAGGTGGTGTCTGCTAATTGCATCTGCAATCCCCCTTGGTTTGGGTAGCACCCAAGTGTTGAGTATTGATGCATCAGACACAATAGTTTGTTTCTTATTTCTCTGCAATGATGAGGACTGGAACAGAGAGATGGAGAAGAGCACCAACGATTGTGAGGCTGCTAGTTCTGCCTTCCATTTTCTGTGCAGCATGGCAGACGTGCCTCTGGACTGTGCTGACCAGAACAGTCGGATGCATTTATTCATGCAGTGAAGCCATTGCTTCAGGGACCATCATTCCTCCTAGAGGCATGGGCAATGAGGGCTAAGTGAGCCACTGAGACTTTCATCCTTGAACACAGACCTCCTGTCTCAGAGGAGGAGCAGCCTGGTGGTGGGCATATGTAAAACCTTAGCTGGGGAGATTACATTTGCATGTCTGTAAGCAAGGTTTTGCTCTCCAGGGCCCTCTTCTGAGTGGCTTTTGCTCTGTGAGGATCAAAGAATTCATCCAATTTCTCATTCAAGCTGTAAGCCAAGCCTGATACACATCAGCTTCATTATATAATATTAGGTGATTCAGGTTGTAAATGGCTTGTAATGCCAGTGGAGACATGAAGGTTTCCTTGTGCAGCAGCAGCAGAGGCCGTGTGGTGTTACCAAGCATTCTGCTCAGACAGCGTTCATGTAGGCATGGCCCTGCCACAAATCAATAGCTGTCAACTGAACGCTGAAATGGAGGAGAAGCCATGGGGTTTGAGACTATGTATGTGAGGGAAGGGAAGAGAGGATTTCCAGTCTTGCACAAACTTGGTTTGTACTTAGTTACAGCTGCCTTCCATGGCACAGTGATTGGGGTTTAGGCTTAAAAAAACAACTCTTGAAATATGCCTGTTGGTCATGGGTTTTGATTTGCCCTTTCCAGTTCTCGTCTTGCCATGGAGTCAAGGACTATACTGTAGATTTGCCTTTGTCTCATGTCCATGTAGGCCTGGAGCAGCTTCCTGTGATCGGTGGTTCTCCTGGTTAAATAGAACTGTGCTGTGATTAGGTTTTCAAGGAAAACAAATCGGAACTGTTGGGAAAGATGCTTCCTGACCTCCTCTCTCCCAAGGGCTATATGGCTGTGGGGAGCTGCTAACGCCACCTTATTTTTTCCTCTCTTGTTTCAGAAAGTTTGCACCAAGTGTGGAATAGAAACCTTTGGAGCCCAGAAACGTCCTCTTTGGTTGTGCAAGATCTGCAGTGAACAAAGAGAGGTAAAAAACAACTGTAGAGAGATGGGGCTCAGCAGTCTACCTGCCTCAGGTCTGTGCTGGGCATGCATAGGCTCTCCCTGTGCCTAGGTTCTTGGAGGGGACCTTGGGATTGGTTTTGGGAGGCTCAATGAACACACACAATGGTAAAAACTTCGGTTTATGGGGGAGTAGAGGGAAAAAATCCCACAAAATCCCCTACAGCCTGTACAGCTTTGTGGGATTTTTTTGGTCATAAAGAGACTGTTACCTTCTGCCATGCTTTTTCCCTCGAGCTTTGTGGCAAATAAACTTGCCTAACGCTGATTCTTCAGTACAGCTGGATAGATGTAGAGGATAAGTGCAATATTTGTCCCTCTAAAAATAACCAGGATTGCAGTTTATAAGTCTGTTTCCTCCCTGCCTGCAAAATCCCATAACTTGACAGTGTGTGAGACTTCTAATGCAGGTCTCTAAATTTTTATGTCCTTCATCCTTGACTTTACACAGCAAAAAGTAATGGCCTGCCTCAATTTTTTTGTCTGCCAGCCAGCATCCACCAACATCAGGGCTTGCTGCTCTACAGTGAAGTCAGTGAATTTGTTCTGTGATTACAGAAGGATTTTCACTTGTTCCCATCAATTTCTTTCGGGCTTTTGCTTGTGGTCCTTGAACATCAATCTAGTGCAGCTATTTCTGACCACTGCAACCAACCGTGAAACCTGGATACTCTGTTACATCCATTTTTGAAGTGTAGTGAGAGCATTTGTGCAGGTGTTTTGCTAAATTTGTTTTGCTGTTAGTTGTGGAAACTTGCTTTGCTTAGGTTTTACATCAGAGGGGACTGTTTGTGCATGAACACTTGCAAAGTTCATGTTCCACTAAGACGAGGGGTACATGGATGCTGCCAGTTCTCGGCTTTTAAGCAGCAGTGTGGGCAGGGCAGGCAGAGAGCATTCCAGCTCCTTGGACATTGCTAATAACTGGATACACTGAATCTTCCAGATGTTTTGAATTCCAGATGTAGGTCCCGAAATGGAGAGCAAGGCAAGTCAAGATATTTTCTGTGTTCTGCAGAGAGATGGGTATGGGACTGAAATTGTCTTTATTTCTGTTATTCTGTTCTTTCTATAATTCTTTTTTTCTCATCTCACGCTGTATAATTGTTTGGGGTTTTTTTGTGTTTCTTATAAAAATGATGAGTTGTGGTCACTGGACAGAGAAGAATATTAACCTGTCCAATAAGTGTTAGATTGGCCAGTGTGTGAGGGTAGGGTAACCTTCAGAGCTCATGCTCTCTCTGAAACCAGATAAAGCCAAAGTGCTTTCCTAATGAAAATGGATGGAACTTTCTTTCTTAGACTAACTAAAAAATAGCCTCATCTTACTTCCCAACCCTAAGCTTCATCTTTATCTTTTGATTCTATTTAAGGTCAGTTCATGTCTGTCTTCTTTCTTGCTTGCAGTGATTCTTGTGCCCTGATAAGGGGAAGTTTGGAAGAGTAACAGTGTGGACATGCAGGCAGGCATCAAGTCATACATCCCCTCTGTCTTTCCATATGCTCTGCTTTTAATTTGGGAGAGGGCAGGAAAGCATTGGGAATTAAAGGAAGCCTTGAGGCATGTCATCCAGGGCAAGGAAGTTGAGGCAATATCAGAATAAATGCCTGGCAGGTGGTTTGATCAAGTCTTCCCTAAGTGTGTGAGGAGGAGATGAGGCTCTTGGGCCTCAGACTGATGACTGGTGCAGTCCCTGAAACTAGTTCTGGTGTCATGGTATTACAGGGCATGTGTTAAATTACCAGGTTTCTTTTCAGGGCTTGTGTTCACAACCAGTTCCTTATTGCTGTCTGTTCCTGTGATTTGATCTGTCTTTTATTGCCATCTGCTATGGACCAACCCCATTTGGCCATGCTCTTTGCTGAAGGTTATATTTGCTATCGATGAGTGCAGATGGTTGCCTGTTTTTTGGGATCAGATGCTCTCATTTCTGTCTAACCTTTGAATCCCTTGCATGGTGAGTAGGTGTCGGACCTGTCTTACTTCCTGGCATCCAGGCAGGGAGCTTTAGGAACACACTGAAGCACTTTGGGTTGTGTGATGCAGTAACAAGTCAAAATCACCCTTCTTCTCTCCCCTTCTCAATGCACAGCTTCTCTGAGCAAGGTTGTCCTTTAGTCCATGCCAGCAAAATACATCCTTAAGCTAGGCTTGTCCCAGGCCACAGAGCTCTGGCAACACCTCCCCACTTGTCAGGCCCCTGAAGTGGGCCAGCTCAGGTGGGTGAATGTTTGATGCTGATTCGGAGTGCCTCCCCCAGCAGGTGTGATGAGATGTGGTGTTTCCAAGCTGGGTGATTCCACCCACATCAGCGCTTTGATCACTGTCTAATTTTCTGAACCACTGCTCAAGCTATTTCAGCATGATATTTATGAAGCTCTCAAATCTGTTAGCAAGAGACTGTCAGGCACTGGAATGAGAAAGAGGTCATTTGGAAACCTGGGTGGACTAAATGATGCTGGCTAGAGTTAATAAGTGTCATCTGGCTGGGACAAGAGCCTAGGACTGTAATTGTTCCCTTTAGTCTCTGCCATGCACTGAGTGAGCATGTGAGTCTTGTGGCCCACCAGGATCTCAAGCAGGCATGGTGGGGTTGGACACATATGGTAGTTAACAGCTGTGGTGTGTGGTGGTGTTCATACATGCTAAAGCTTTAATCCCTCCATCTTCCTTGTTGTTACTTATCCCTGTAGACTTGATTTAAGCTAGTTTAGCAGTTAAGTTTAGTGATACGTGGTAGTTCTCTCCCCCTTTTGCTGTGTGGACAGAATCTGCTGGTTTCAGTAACGCTTTAATCATCTGTCTGCCTGGGTCAAAATGAAGACCAAAATAACAAGCTATTGTTTACATCTGTTTTCAGTTGGAGTTGAACGCTTGGTGCCCATAGATCCCTTTGGGAATCCCAGCCTCAGCCATTCAGAAATGTTCTTTGCTTCTTTCTGCTTCCTTGAAAACCTCCACTGGGAAAGGCTGTGATGCATAGCAATGAGGAACAAGTTGCTCTGACACTGTCTTATTTCTGGAGAGTGGAGGAGATTGATGGATTCTGTCTGCTGCTTGTATCCCAATCATCCAGAAGCAAAACAGTGTGTTGGGCAGCACTTGAGCTGCTGAAGTGTGATGTGTACGATCAGGGTAAGGGTCTCCAAGGTGCCAGGGAGGTGCTGGGGACGAAAGTACTGTGTTCTGACATGGCTGGGACCTGAAAGAGCCTGGATGTCTTACTGACAAAGAGAACATCCCCAAAGACCAGCGGACACCCCTGCATCCTAAGTGCCTCTCTTCCTGAAATAAGATAGACCTCACCTGCTTTAGGCCAGAACTGGCTTTTTGGAAATATAGCTTGTCCCAGCTGTTTGTAGAGGTATCTGTTGAAAAAAAAACCACCCTTTTTCTTCCAGGATTCTGGGGAAATTTGACTTTGCAATTTAATTCTACTTCTGAGGGCAGTGCAATTAAAGCAGATGCAGATTCTGGTTTATTGTTCCTGCCAGCAAGGGTAGAAGCAAATTCAATCAAGATCACATTCACTTCCGAGGGCAAGAATCTCCCTTCTTCCCTCCTTCATGTGTTGCATTGCCTTTCTTGGCTTTGCATCTTGCATTGACTTTCTGGAGAGTGGATGTGGACGACTGATCCTCCCTGGGGCAGTCCAGTCTCTGCATGCGTATAGTCCCATGGCATGATTAGAAAGCCTGTTCCATGGCTGCATCAAACACTGGCCACAGGTTCGCAGTGAGGCTGTTCGCTAGTTTGGCAGTGAATCAGTGATGCACCCGTGGAATGAGAACGCAGGGCAGAAAGGGAGCAAGTCCTCCAGCAGAAAGGGCTTATTGCAGCAGCTGTCAGAGGAGCAAAACTTGCCTGGGAGGAGCTGTGGTGGGCATATATACAGCTGGAATGATTCCCTGCTGCCAGCCCTTGGGCAGGGCACGTGAGCTTGGTAACAGCTTGGGCAGTGATGCCCATATTGAATTAGTTGCATGTGGCTGAAGTCTGCCTGTCACCTGGCCTGAAGGGGACATGGGTCCTGCTGTGTTTTGTCAAATCCCTCCTCAGCTGTTTAACTCTGCACACCCTTGTTTTGACTGATACCACCAGGTTCGGCAAAGCACCTTCCTGAGTTACCACTTTATATATATATATAATACATATTTTACATCCATAATTAGCGATGCTATCATCGTAATTAAAATACTCTTGGAAGCATTTGTGCACATTTACATTTGAATTGACACATCAAAATTATAGCGATAATGAAAACAGCTTTAGTAGGGTGGGGGAGATAGTTATTTTTTTAAACCCCATTAATATGAAAGGGAGTGTCAGCAGGGACCTGTTAAAGTTTTAACTTGTCCCCTTTGCTTCACTTTCCCTTTAATTTCTTCTCTTCCTCTAAATGGCATTTTCATGGCTGGCTGCATTTTTTGGTTTATCACAAAAAACCATGCAGAGGAAGAAGATTACTGCACTGGAGCAAGGGAGTTGCCTCCTTCCCCTCTTGCCTCCAGGGCTTCCCTTTTCACATAGGCACTCATACAGGTTTAAACATTACCAACCAGCATACTCTGGAGTTATTCCAGCCTGGTATGATGATTTCTTGGCAAAATACCATCCTGATGGAAGGGGAGTGTTTATTTTGGGTGACTCTGGATTGAATCAAAGTGATGTGCACCTGTTTGCAATTCAAAGAACTCATCAATAGCCTGCCATATTATTTTGGGGGTGGTAGAAAGTGGTTAGACTCAAAATAGTGTCCTCTAGAATAGAGCGACAGGAAAAAAAGAGGCCTGATTGAGAGGGGAATGATAAATGATGGAAGGCTGGCAGCCATTGCAGCATGAGAAACGGTGGGGTCAGGGGTGTGATAGATTTTGCTATTCCGGAAACAAAGCTCCGAATAGCAGTTTCACTGCCTTTTAATTTTCTTCATCCTCAAGTGCTGAATGTGGGAGTTGACAACAGATTGCTGTAAATAATGTAATTGGAAATCTCTGTGTTACGGAAAAGCAGATGAATGCAAATAACGAAGCTGAAGAGCGTTTGCTCTTTCTCCCTGCCAGTGGTTTGCAGCGTGCCAGAGCCATGGTGGAGAGCCTGGGACAAAGTGAGTGTGTGGGCATGTGCTGCGTGAGGGCAATGCCAACGAAGTCCTCCCAGGGTGGTTGCATTTGCAGGTGCCTTTCTCTTCAGTAAGCATTGTAGCCCATGGGAACCTGCTCCCCTGCCTTGTGGCTGCTGGGGGATTGAACCAGTAGTGCTGGTGTCAGCATGGGAAGCTAAAGGTAGCTGTTTTCCCCTCATGCAGCCCAGCCTAGGCTGCTGGAAGGAACGGGGCTGCAGAATGAGAACAGCTACTGTGTAGCAAGCAGTAGGTGGTAGAGCAAAACGTGGCTTTGCAGCAAAGATCCTTTCTAAGCATCTCTGTTTAGAGGGCTTGTGGCTTGGTGAAGTGAGCTCAGTGGGGCCGCGAGCATTCCTTCAGCTGTGATCCTGTCCCTTCATCAGTAAGCCCTAATGTTTTCTGTTCAGAAGTTTTGTGTTTTAGCACTGTTATGTTCAGAGAAGGAGAAAGAGGAGGGAGAAGTTTGAGCAGTAACATGTTTCACCATGGCCCAGTGATTCTCTGTTACGTCCCATTTGCAGGCTGCACTTGAATGTGCTAGGTAAAAGTACACATCTGCTTCTCACCATCTCTTTCTATAGCTGGAATGATGGCTTGATGCAGCTTTTAATAGGAATGTTATCAGGGCTATAAAAGGCAGTGAGCTCTCTGGACTTGTCATGGCTATGGCTGTTAAATTGGTCTGAAGTAATAAAATAAAGCTTCTATTGCTAAAGTAGCTCCTCGCCCATGTCCTCCCTCACTTTGCTTTAGGGTAGGTTAGGTGTCAGGGGAAGAAGAAGGTCAGGAGTGGATTTTGGCTGTCTTTGGCTGGGCAGTTTGAGCACAGTGGGCTTGGGGACAGCTGAGGCAGTGAGCCGTGGTGGGGCTGCTTTGTCCTAAGCCACACACTGGGCCACTACGTCCTGATCTGGGATCATGTAGTTAAACATCTTCCTTCCTTGAAGCACTTAGAGCAAGGGGTGATCAATGTTACTTAAATTTTGATTGCTGCAGGAGGCTGGAAGGGGCTGTTTCTCTCTCTTGCTGATGAAGTTCCAGCTCTATCCAAACTCAGGCTGCCATGGGGGCTGGATTTCACCTTGTGTGCCAATGGGACAGGCGGAAGCAAAACTCTTTCCTCCTTGGAAAGAGCAAACTTCTAATAAACGTGAGTTTTATTCTTGAAGAGCTGTTATGGATTTATTAATTTAAAATCAAGCAAGAACTTTGCTGTCGGGCCACTCTTGCAATCAATGAAACTACCATCAATAGCAGCCAGCAGCATTGATCTGTTTTGATGCATGGATGCTAAAACTAACCTGTGTGCCCATGTGCAGAACAGAACGTGAGCTGCTGTCATTTTGGATGGGGCATGCTGCTAACCTGAGGGGAGCAGATGTGCTAAATTAAAACAGGGGAGAGCATCTTGCTGCAGTGATTTCAGAGCTGATCTCAAAACAATTTCAGTACTGCTGTAATGAGACCAAACTGTCAGAAGCACCAATTTAAACTGAATATGTATTGTAGACTCAATTTTATACTAGTATTACTAATTCAGAGCTGGGTGTATTGTATCATTAACTGTTTCTATAACTGGACTTGCTCTGGGGTAGTGAGGAACCTGGGGGTGACCAGCCTTTTCTTACAGCAATCCTTGCTGTGTCTGATTGGGTTTATGGTGTGCCTAAATTGTAGCTCGCCTGAAGATAATAGGTCTCTTCAGTGCTTCAAATTAAATTACAGATGTTGCAAGGTCTGTTTAGAGAATGGCTGCAAGGCTTGCTTCCTCCCTGGCAATTTGTGTCCCAGCTACCCAGTGTGTGGCAGGGGACAGATAGCCTGCCCTCCTCAAGCTGTGGCACTCACTGGGGTGTAAACCCTTTGAGTGCAGCTGCTCCCAAGCCTTCTTGCCTACCTGAAACAAGGGAGACCCGTCCTTACCCAGCCTACAGCTCCTGTGTATTGTTACCCAATTTACAGTACGCTGAGCTCCATGTAGAGATGTCTGTCCCAGATTTAAAAAACATATTCTGTTTCCTGACTCTTGCTTTTGTTGGGATAGCAGAACATGATCCTCCAGTGTCCCTGTGCTGCACTGACATGTGCTGTTGTACAACCTATACCAAATGCTGTGCAGTCCCTATGTGCTAGCAGAGGGGGCAGGAAGAGCTGTGTCAGCTTGTGCCTTGACTGGCTGGGTCACTGTCTTGGCTCCTTGCATGTGGTGAAGGAGCTGGTAGTGTGTCCTGCCTGCCAAGGCCCTTCCTGTAGAGGAACTTGCAGTTTTCTCCCCTTTGGGGAATTGGCTTCCCAGCTTTTTGCTTGAATGGCAGACTCACCATCCTTCTGGGCTGTTACCCAGCAGGAAAATGTTAGTGTAGCTGCAGGATGTTATCATCTCCTCGTTTCTAGATTTTGCTGTGGTGCGCATGAGCATCTCTCTTTTACAGTAACTGATGTGTGTGCTAGGTCACAGCGACCCTGTACTGCTTCTGTTGGGTGCTCTTTTAAAATGCATGCTACCAGGTTTCCCTCCTGCATTCAGATTGCTTTCACTTGGCTTTCAAGACCCCAAACACAGAGATTAATTGAGCTCTCTGGTGATGGCTCTGGACTAGGAACTGGGCAACCTGCTGAGCAATCTCCTCCCGTCAGTGAAACAGCAATGGTGGTGTCCTGCTTTTTGTGCCTGCATGAGAAAAACTTCTCATGAGTGCCAGGTGTTATCACTGCCCTCTGCTTTGATTAAGCCCTAAATGCAAATTGCAAACATATTGCTGTAATTAAGGACATCTGCATTTGCACCCAGTGCATCATGGTGATACCATATGCAAGATGCTTTGAAAACTTGGGACAGAAACACTGATGATCTCCTTCACTCTGAACAGAATTGCAAGGTTTCTATCCCCCTGCATGAAATAGCAAATTATATTTTTACTACATTAACTTTTGCCCTGGTTGTCTCATTACCTCATTATTAGACTGCTGGAAGGCACAAAAGAATTGGGTCTTAAAGGCCATTTCTCCTTGTCTAAGCTGCCATCCTTTTCCTTTTCTCTGGCTCACAGCAGACTTTATATTAAACATACTTAATAGAGCTCCTTCATCATAAGCAGCATTAAAACTAAATTGGAGAGTAGAGGGCATTCTTACAGGAGATGTTGCAGTTTAGTGCTCTCAGTCTGTTTCCTGCTACATATTCAGGTTATTTAGGTGGTGTTTTTCTTCTTCTGGGGTTTTCAAGCCCACCTGTTAAATGATCTGGCTTGGCTTGAATTTCTCTGTGAAATGAACACCAAAGTTGTGCCATCCAGGATGCATGAGGCAGTGTTTCTGCTGTCCTGACATTGCCGCTTGTGTCCCTCAGCTGCTGCTGGTCTTTGACTCTCTTGAAAGTAAAGAGGGACCCAGCCCAGGAGGAGCAACTTGTGAGGACTTACTGCCCTTCCAGCCAGTGCAGGACTTGTTTTTCTTTAAGCAGACCATGTGCTTGGAGCTATTGGCACCCATGGCACATGCCTGCATTCTCCAGGAAGCTTTTCTTTTTGTGCATTCCCAGTGGGAAAGCAACAGCTGCAGAATCTGAACTGCCTGGTTCTTAGTGCAAGCCAGGGAACTTCATCCTGATACCCTTGTAGTAAGTGTGGGAATGTGTGTTTGACTCAAGCAGGGCATCAGAGAAAGAGGTAGTCTTGACCCAGAGAGTGTAAGAAGCTCCATGGTTTGCGTGATCACCTTGAGGTCAAGCTAGCTCAGTGGGATTGGCTGGGCTGAACTTGGTGGGAAGGCTGTGCTCTCTTGCCATAAAAACCCAGGCTTAAGGTGTTGTGTCTCTGTCTCTACCAGGTTTGGAAGAGGTCTGGTGCGTGGTTCTACAAGGGGCTGCCCAAGTACATCACGCCTTTGAAGAGCAGCAGCAAATCCAGTGAGCAGCACTCGCAGCCTTGGCAAAGCGAGCCAGCCATGCCGGAGGCAGAGAGCATCGGGACCAGCCGATCCTTCACCTGGGCCAGGGGAAAAGGTTGGTTGTCTGCTCCATGCCCAGGAAGCAGGTGGGGAGAAAGACCTCGCTTCTATTGTGGCTAGCAGGATTCAGCTAATAGGGAAGGCTATGCTGGAGGTGAGGGATAGCCCACAAGAGGTGGTGTGTTTCCTATGTGAGTGGTGTTGGGGTTTTTATGCTGTGGTGTATTTTTCAGGTTTCACTGTTATTGTAGGTGCACATTGGTGGCCCAGACTAGCCCCAGTCCTCCTGGACCCTCTTTCCTTCAGTTTACCCTTGCATTCCTCTGTTCCTTGCAGCCCCCACTGTTTTGCTGGGACTGCCAAGGGACAGACGAGCTGTGAAGCAGGTACCTCTCTGCAGTTGCAGCCCAAAGAGCTGCTCCTGCCAAAATAGATAGCATGATGCCACCGAGGGACATCGTTGTGCAGCCAAGTCTGACAAAGGCTGGTCTTATTCCCTCAGTCCTTGGGGCTCCTTGCTCCTTGTTTCTGCATCTCTAAAGAGCAACAGTGGGGAGAAACCTCAGGTCACTTTGAGCTTTGTAATTTAGAAATTACACTGCTGGCATCTCCCTGGGGTCTTTCTGAGTTCTGGAGCAAGTGGGCAGAGATACTGTTCCACATCAGTAGGTAGGAGCGAGCTGATGCTGTCTGTGTCCTTTTGTGGCTGACTCCTCTGAGCAGGTGAGACTGGCAAAGGGTGAAGCTCCTTCTCCAGGCCTGCAGAGGTTTGCAGCACAGAGAGCTCAAGGGTGACTTGTTCTTTAAATGTGTCTCAGAGAAGCTGTTAATCAACAGCCCTGCGCAGGGCTGGGGCCAGAGCACTGACAAGCCTGAACATTTATTAGCTTCAGCACTCACATCCCTGTTCTTTGAGGTAGACCTTGATTGAAGTAGACTGTAGTGTCACATGTGGCATCTTGGATCGCTGCTGCGTCAAATCCCATTCACAGCACTGCCTCTTAGGTCTCTTTTCCACCTTTCTTCCACCTGTCCACCCTGTCATTGCTTGTATGCCCACTCCACTGCTGTGCCTAGAGCCAACTGTGGGGAGCAGCAGCTTGGCATTGAGGAGCTGAGTACTCAGGGTCATTAGCACAACAGCAATGGATACTGCAGAATTAAAGCTACTGCCAGTCTGCTTTGATTTCTCTTCATTTCGTTTTGGTATGGATTAGCACAGTTGTCTGGCCTCTTTCCCCTTCTGTCTTTTGATATTAGATCCCCTCAATACCAGCAGCATACATTCTTCTACATCAACATTACTGGGAGTGCAGTAGGGAGAAAATAACCTGTTAATAAAGGGGACTCAGGAGACAGGTTTACAAACCTTCTCTTTAGGCCCCTATGAGGAAACCACTCCCAGCCTCACTGTAACTTGTAATTAAAGACAAATTAGATCAACAATAGATGGTTGTGCTTCCCTCCAGGAGACGTTTGGAAAAAGAGAGTTCTCTTAGCAAATGAGCTGATTAATGAGGTGTTTTCTGCTCATATGATACACCAAACACTAAGAGTCTGAGATGTTGAGCCCAGACCTGGCCTGCTTTTTAGTTCAGTTTTTTAGCTGAGCTTTGTTTTGGGAGAAGGCCTCCCCCTAAATATTGGCAGGAGCAGAAAATGAGCAGGTGGAGGACAGCAAAGTGGCCTTTGGTAAGCTTGGATGTGGGTGGTGAGCTTCCTTTCTCCTCGTGCTCTGATATTTGGCTGGCTGCTGTTTTATGGGTTGGATAATACTAATTTATAGTTTTATTTTCTGGTCGTTTCTTTCCTTATTGCCCTTCTCTGTTAGTCCGCCTGTCCTCTGGACACCTTTAAGTGGGCATAGCAGGCTGCAGTTTATCTCTGAAGCTGGGGGTTTGTACAGCTCACCTCTCCGTTTAAGTGTGTTTCACCTGCCAGTGCTGGGACTTTGTTGTTTGTCACCCAAAACCTCTCCAGTGTGCAGGGTAGATGCCTTCCCTCGTGGAGATGATATAGCTGTGATATTGCCAGCATGAATCTGCGACTGGGCCTGGGCTGAGCTTTAAGAGGACATAGCTGACAAGAGCCTGCCTTACCTCTGCCTGGCTGATAGCATCTGTCAGCTCCCACCTCATACACCCTCATCTGAACACATCCTTTCGGCACGGAGTGAAGCCCTGTTGCTTGTTTGGCAGGATGTTCTCAGGAACAAGCTCTGGCATCTCGCATGCCTGCCTCTGACAAGCAGCTCTCAGTAGGGTTTCTGTTATCTTGGCCAGCCATGTCTAACTCCACTGCTTGCTTCCTGAGGTGCTGAAGGAGCCATCTCTCAGCTATTAAGGGATTCAAGTCAGGTAGGACCAGCACAGGCACATCCATGCCCTGGCACAGCCCCTAGAATGCCCGGTAGAAAAGGGTGGCCTTTCGACATCCTCCATGGCAGGAGCTGCCTTTCAGCAGGGATGGGACAAACCTTAAGTGTCCCTTTTTCCCCCTTAAAAGAAAGGGCTCAGTGCCATGCTCTGGGTACCAGCTACTCCTGCCACAGGAGAGTGGGAAGGCAGTGGGACTGAGGGACTGCAGGAATGTGCCTCTTGGAATAAAAGGCAAACCCACCAGGAAGTTTTATTTTTACACACCCATTATTCCTCTGATGCTTGCTGATACTGGGATTTGCCATTGCCTTTAGTTTTTCAGTAATAAACAAGCAGTTGCCATGGGAACCCTGCTATTAGTTAAGGCACAAATGTATTGTCATGGGGAGAATAGCAGTAATATTTCTTGTGCTGGGGAACAGCTCTGCTCCATGTGGTGGAATGTGGGTGGGTTTCTGCACTGGGTCAGGCAGGATGAGGCCGTCAGGGGGTGGGAAGCAATAAGCAGCAGGGCTTCCCTTCTTCCAAACTCTAAGTTCTGCAGAAAAAAATGTAAAGCATCTGGGTGGAAAAAAGAGAAGTGTGATTCCTGAGCTCTTGCACTGTTTGGCATGAGGGCTGCCTGCTGCTCTGCTTGGTCTCTGGTGGTTTCTTCTGTTGCAATGTGCTCTAGTCCTGTTGCCAAGCAATGCAACGTGCTGGGCTCAGTGCTGTCGCTATCAGAGGCAGAGGAGCAGTGGCTGGGCAGGGGGATGTTGTAGGTTCATGTGGTTTCTGTATGCTCGAGTCTAAATCCTGAGTGATGGAGCAGAGAGGAGAGTGCTGGGGTCCATCAAGTGCTTTGCAGGTCGTCAAGGGGATCATCCAACTTCTCTACAGCTTTGGGCAGTGCCAAAGCTGCAAGTGTGCTGCTTCTAAAAGGGAGAGCAGTTGAGTGCAGTCCCCTTCTCCTGCTCGGAGATGGCCATGCAACTGTGGTCCATGCTGGTCACGATCTAGTATAGAAGCTGCACTGAAAGAGACACTTGGTTTGTAACAAAACTCTTCATCTCCCAGCCATCTGGCTGCTGCCAGAGGGATTCAGGCTCTTGATGAGTGACCCATTCCCTGTGGGAATACTGCTTTTCTTGCAAGTTTTATCTGTGCATATTTTTTATGAGCTTTTTTTCAGTCAGCTGGATATTGAGGGATAAATCTGTTATGTTCTCTCAAACTACAGCTGTCCAACGACTCTTATTGATATATCAGCAACTGCTGGAACACCAGATTTATGACTTCTGGGCTCTGGAAAGTGCCAGCAGAAGGTCTGGGATCTTTGGGAGAAAAATTACCTTAAAGGGAATTATTGGTACAGTGGGTAAAATACACTCTTATTGGCAGTAGAGAAAATGAGAGCAGACAGGGCTGCTCCTGTGGAGCAAGTGCCTTTGTGTCATTAATATTTTCTTCCTCTTGTGCTGGTCCTCTCTGACCTGCTGAATGGCAGAAAGGAAGGCAGCTAAAGTCACCTCCACTGATTCACTGGGGCCTTCTCCAAATAAATCCTGATTTCCAGAATTTTTAAAGAATTCATGGAGGAAGAAGCTGTTCTAAAGGGATGGATTTTATGAATCCAGAAGGCCAGAAAAGGATCATGACCAAGCACAACAGGAGTACATTTTCTGAGAGAATTGGGCGATGGAATAGTCAGAATGATTCTCACAGCTGAGATTTGGATTTTATAGCAAAAATATACATACTGGTTTGTCTGGTTTGTGTTATGTATCTTTTTTTATTTATAGTATTTATATATAAGTCCCCACCTCTCCCAGGGAGCTTTAGGGAAGTGGTGAACCTGTCCTTAAGATGGCAAAGCCCAAAGCCAAACCTTTGCTTTGAGGTTGCTTAACAAGAAGTGAAGACACCCCCAGCTTGTACCAGCACTTGCTCTGTGCCTGGCTCAGCTCCACGGCCCCTTTCCCTGCAGGTAAAAGGTCCCATTCCTGATGGTGCCAGGAGGGGAAGGCTGTGGGTGCAGGAGGAGCTGATTCCCTGGGAAGGCTGTGCAGGCAGTGAGGCAGCTTCCCAGCAGTACGGTGTGCGTGGGGAGCTGCCTGCCACAACAACTTCAGTAACGCTTTGCAATAACTCTGGGAGCCAGCTTTAATATCCTCAGAGATGTTAACTCCAGCAAAGTGCTATTTTAGCCATTAATATTTATTTTTTTTAATAAAATATTTTGTGTAGTACAGATCGCTGCCTGAATACAGGAGCATCTGCAGAAGTCTTTGCCAGAAATGTTTGACAGCTTGTGTTTGCCTGTGCAAGGGGAGGGATACCCATCCTCTTGCCTTGGGCAGAGTTAAAGGGTTTGTAGCGCTGTGAACTGCATGCAGTGAATTTTAGGGCTGGTACAGAGATGAGCTGACAGCTCTCTTTGCTACCCTGTGCTTGTCATGCTGTACCACTTCACCCACATCTCTCCTGCAGCCAGCAGCTGTCAGGTTGGTTACATGGCGTGGGGGCAAAGTGGTTTGTTCAGTACCAAAACGGAACTCATTTCTCATGTGAACGTGAGGATATATGTACATACTGATGAATATTAAGAAATAGTTGGGGCTTCCTTTTTCTACAGTAGAGGCTGTAGGTTGCAGTGTTGCCTACTCTGTATCCCACATGAGCCAGTATTGTACTTTCTGTCAGGAATTGTGACCCATTGTTTGAAATGGCTTCTGAGCTGCCAGAAGAGCTGTTATCTGCCTTGGTCAGACAGAGAAATGCTGTAGGTGCAATCGCTCAAACAAAGGACAGTTGTTTTCCCATTACTTTCCTCCTCAGCCCCATCATTTCTGTTCTGAGATCAGGCCATTATAAAAACCCAGGAGCTGAAAAAACAACTTTCTCATTTTACGCAGAGCAGCTGGCAGTTATCTGTTGCACAGGTATATGCTGGAGAGGTGCTTGCATAATTTCATGGAAAGTGGAAATAACTTGCCAATTTGGGAAGTTTTGTTTGGCAAAATGAGGCTTGCTGAGCTCCTGTGGAAACTGTGGTGTGTGGAAAGCATCAGGATTATGGCCAGGAGAAATAAACCTGTGGCCTTAAAAGGGGGGAACTGTCTGCTTGAGGAAGGGGAGGGCCTCTTGCCTTTCAAGCCTTGAGAGTGTAAGAGTAATACAGCTCTACGCAGTGTGCTGACAGGGATAAGTGCTGAATGGATGATGAGCTAATAACACCGGTTCTCTGTGTAATCACTGCAGGGTTTTTTATTTGATGTGCTCTGTTTTATCTGATGTTTTCCTCATAGATCCTGGAGCCTCCACGGAGGCCCTGCCACACTTGAAATGCAGCTTGGAGGAAGACAGCCCCTCTCCCCACATAACTCAGTCCTGGATGCTGTTACAGTGCAGCCAGGACCACTCCACCTGCAGTTGAGCAGAAACCAGCCTTGTAGCCAGCCCTTAGCATGTTGTAGCAGATGGCAAACATCAGGAGGAGGAGTGCTTGCTGGCATGCTGGCATGGGGATCAGTGGGAGCAGAGCCCAATTCCCAGACCAGCCATACTGCAGGGCTCTTGGCTTTGCAGCAGGGAGCTTTGGGCAGTGAAGCACAGCACAGAAGCAGTGTGATCCCTATGGCCCCAGTCAGGTTTAGCAAAGCCACAATGTTGGTGTGTGCGTCTGCTTCAGGTGCTGCACCACTGGAATGTGTGCAGTAGAGTAATAGATCAGCTGTAAAAAGTAAAAGCACATCGTGTTTGAGAGGAAGAGCGAGCAGCTGTCGGGGGAACTGCAGGTAGGGCTCCTTTTGGAGAGGGAAAATGTGATCAGCGAGTCAGCATTAGTTCATGTTTTATTTGGATCCATCTGGCACCCTCTTTGCTATGTGTTATGAACGTTGTGAATAACTGTCTCTCTCCTCTCCTCCCCCTGATCTCCGCAGTGGTTTCAAGTGACAGTGAGAGCGACTCGGAGTTCAGTTCCTCCAGCCTGGATGATAAGCCCTCACCTGCAGGGTCAAAAGGCTCCCAAGGCAGAAAGCAGCAAGCAGGACTAGGTGAGGAGTTGGTCTTCCTTGTGGCTGTAGGGTGGGAAGTGTAAAGTGCTTAAATATTTGGTTCTAGGCACTGGGGGGTTTGGCTCAGCCACTTGCGTGCCCTATGCTGGTGCAGCCCACTGGCTGTAGCTGTGCCAGATGAGGATCTGATCCTTTCTCGCTGGAATAGCATCAATAGGTCAAACAGCTAGTGGGTTGCTCCACTGCCTGCAGCCTTTCATGGTGTGCCCTTGCAGTTGGGAGCTATTGCAGGTTACCTGGCAGCACATCTCCAGCCAGCTCCTCACTCCTGATTTTATAGCGCTGGGATCACCACTGCTGTTTTAGGAGTAGAGCACACAAAGTGGGTATTGATCCTCTTCCTGAGGGCGTCTGGCTGGGAATGTGGAGGCTCTTGGGAGCACCCACTTCTCTGTCCCCCAGCAGCATCTCTCTGTTGTGTTCCCACAGCATCCATCAGGGAGCCCAGCCGGGGCAGGGTGCTGGGAAGCACCCACTCCCCAAGCCTGTCGGGGAGCCGCAGCAGCCTGGGCAGTGAGCAGGGGGCTGACCCCAGTGCCACTGAGAGCTGCCACAGTGACCAGCCAGCTGATGGGCGAGACAGCGATGCCAGCAGCAGGGTCCCTGGTAAGCTGAACCTCCTCTCTGGGCATATCCATGCTTTGGGGGCTTACTTGCTTTGAAGTACAGCTTTCTCAGCTGCACACCTGCAAAGCTGCAGCCGAGGATCACCTTTCCCTGCTGTTTTTCTCATGGCAGATGCTGTCACAACATTACAGCTCACTCCTTCCCTCTCCCCCGAGTGCAGAATTATTCTGCAACATGAGTAATTGTCTGAGGTGGGAGCTGCCTACATCAAGAGCAGTGGTAGACTGAGTCTTTGTCCCAGCCAAGGCCCTGAGCTTCTCTCTGCCCTGCAGAGGCAGCAGAACTGATTGAGCATTTACTGAAGGAAAGCAGAACTCCAACAGCTTTATGAGACTGGATAAAAATTTTCCTAATGGTAGATGGCTCTTAAAGCCAAGAATGGCTCTTCCCAGGACTCTGCAGTGCAAGGAAAAGACACTTTTCCCCCCTTCAACAGCCTTGGAACAATTAAGTGACTGACAGTAGAAGCTGCTATCACATCTGATCTGGAGCAGCTGAAAGAGATGCAAATGTGTTCTCTCTGCAGCTCCCACTAATCTAGTCAATAACCCCTTAAGTTATCGTTTAGTGCTGCTCTCTCCAGAGCATTCCTGCTGCCCTGTGAGCTGCCGCTCCTTTTGTTCCTGAGCCTGTTTTGTGCTGTGCATGTTGAGGCGTAAATTGGATTAGAGAGAACAGGTTTATCCTCAAGTGTAACATGGAGTCATCGTTCCCCCTCCCCACGCTTCCCACTAGAAATAGCCAGCATAAAATTGTTTCTCTGCTTTTCCCTCCCTCCCCAAAGTTTCAGGCATTTGCAGTTTTCTTTAATTCTTGGTTTTGCAAAGCAAGTCAGATGAGTGATACTTCTGTTCTGTCTGTCATCTCACTGGATTATAGTGCTGTCCTGGACAGGGTGGTTTATTTTAAGTCCCTGTTGGCTGTGGCATTAATGACGTCTGATTGCTGTTGTGTATTGGCTCTGATGGCTGCTGAGCAGAGCTGCAGGTTGGGCTGCAGGATTGAAGTGAATGGTGGTGGATTGCAGGTGTGACCAGAGAAGCTGTGGCTGCCCCATCCCTGGCAAGTGTTCAAGGCCAGGCTGGACGGGGTTTGAAGCAACATGGTCTAGTGGAAGGTGTCCCTGCCCATGGCAGGGGGTTGTAATTGCATGAGCTTTAAGGTCCCTTCCAACCGAAACCATTATAGGATTCTGTGACCCCTTGGGTGCTTTTTCTGCTGGTGCTTCACGGCCACGCTGAAGGCTGGATGGATGCACACCTCTGAACCATGTGTGTGTACAGCGCTTAGCACTTCAGAGCTTTCCTGCCAGCTGTTGGAACTAACTGCTGCCTGGCCATGGCAGTGCAAACAATATCTCTAGAGGCAAAAAAAATGCCTTTTTGCTGCTAAAAACCTTGTATGCAAAATTTGGCAGAAGGGGTCAGTGCTTTCCGGTGGGATCTCTCCTTGCTAGGCAGGGGAGAGCTAAAAATGACAGGCAGCATGGACATAGATTTAAAAAATGGAAACTGTAGCAATCTCATGAGCCCAGTTATAATAGTCCCTGAGATGTAAGAAAGGATCTTGCTAAGGAAAAGGTTAAGCGAGGTTGGCTGACTAGAGAGTATCTGTAAAGGTCTTCATTATGTCTGGAGTCATTTATTTCCCAGTCTTCCTGCAGAAGAGGCTACTTTGTTCAGAGATAGTGCTTGCAGCAGGGAGTTGGTAGAGTAGCCTTGGTAGGAGGGCTCCATGGCCCCAGAGCCGGGGGAAGGGGAGGCAGGAAGACTGCTGTGAGTACTTCTGCTGGCATGTGCTTGGGAGAGAATGGAGTTGGTGGTGCTTGCAGTCGGCAGGTACAGGCCTGGGAGCTATGGGTGGCCATGGGCAGGGTTCTCTGCGTCGTGTCACATCAGGAACCAGCCACCATATGAACATCCTCCTGGGCCAGTGAGCTGCCTTGGGCTTGCAGAGAGTTAGGTGGCACTACAACTGTGGCTTTGTGACCACAGGAGCTGGCAGGATCGGCTACAGTGTGGCTGGCTTGTCTTTGAGCCTGTCCTGTGTACAGCATCATGGGTGCTGGTGAGGGCAGCCATAGAGACTCTACCAAAGGTCTCTGCAAGGAGTTGAAGCTGGAACCTGTGCCCGTGTTATGTTTGCCATGGCTGCATGCTCTGTCCCACAGTGTGGGTCATCTTCAGCACTTCAATATGGGGAGGAGAGTGGGAAAGTGAGTTTGTTTTCCTTCTGATGTGTTTGGGATGTGGCATTGCCTCCGTGCAGTGGGTGAACAGCAGGGGCAAGCATAGTCAGTATTCATTTACTCTGAGAGCACTTAATGTGCCCAGCTGGAGAGGTGCTGCCACAATGTGATCTATACAGCAAACTATTGACAGTCATGATCCATTACATATTGAATCTAGTGATGAGCATTATGCAGTGATACAAGTTGTGCAGCCTCATGTTCCGTGGAACTCTGTATCAGGTGTTTTGAGCAGATCAAACATCCTGGAGGCTGCAGTACTGAATGCCTCCATGCTTTGCCAGGGGCCTGGCAAGAACAGAAAATAAAGAGAAGAGCAAAACCAGTGCTGTAGTACCCTAGGAAATGCCCTGCTTTGCAGAGGGGTTCACGTGCTTTGGGATGCTGGAGGTCTGAGGTGTGGAAATGCTGGGAGCCTCAGGACTGGTGGCAGTGCCTCTCACCATCTTTAGATTAGAGCTTCGTCTGTCTGTGAGAGGCTTTTCATGATGGGTTCCTCTGGATGCCACTGGTTGCCAAAAAGCAGAGGCTCCTTTTGCTGTTCATCTCTTTAATGAGCTGGGGAGGTGACGTGTGCTGTATGTCATGACTGGCATCTTTACTGCGCATCTCCCTGCCTGTGGGACAGTCTCTGTGCTCTGCTCTGACCCAAAAGCAGAGCAAGGGGCAAAGATCCTTTCTTACTTAAAGTGCTGATCCTTACCTGCAGAATAGGGATGTTAAAAGGAGGTTATTGTTATCACTTTTCTGAAAAGCTCTGTAACTTTATAACACTGTGCTAGGAGCAATTTTTGCTTCATATTAGCACCTCCGGTGGTGTTCTACTGGTGACTTTCTTTTCACTTCTTATTCTCACCTGTGCTCTAATTCTGCTCTCAAGTGTGACTTTGCAGAACACTTTAGCATCCTTAAATTCTAGCCCACAGCCAAACAGGGAATTAGGGAGTGGTACGGCAGATGCAGCTGCTGTCGTAGTCCTTAGCTGTTTAAGCCTGAAGGCCAAGACGACAGCATGGTTGTGCGGCCAAGGGGAAACAAGGAGCTATTAAGAAGAGTTTGTAGATTTCCAGTATGTTACTCCGGCTGGAGTTTGGTGAGGCAGATAATGAAGCCTGGGGTTTGTCATAAAATGACTCACTGTCAGAGCTGCATTGGGATTTAGGCAACCTCAGCCCATGAGCCAAAGTTTCAGAAGGCTGTGGTGACCTGAGAGGCTGCCTGTTGTTTTCCTTTTTACTACTACCTGCCTTCAAACCCTTTCAAAAGCACTGTTTTCTGAGGGTCTGGTGTTTCTTCTTTTGAAGTTCCAGTTCTTGGAGGTGCCCGGTCTGACATGGTAGCTGTTAAAAGGAGGGTCATGTGCTGGTTTTCCTGGAGAATGTTTTATTGTAAAGAGAATTAAATTTGCACACAGGAAAGAAGCACAATCTTCCTTTTTCCCCTTACCCTCAGCTAGGGAGGTGGCTCACGTTGTTCTGGCTGTATAGCTGATGTGTAAAGAGATGCCCCAGTTAAAAAAAGAGCAAAATCCTCACTATTGCTAGTTATGATATTTCTAATAAAGGAAGAGAATGTTAAACAATTAAAGAAATTGTCAATATCTTATAGTGGTTTTCATTTGCCCATGGAGAGCTTTTACTGGCATTAACCTCTTTGAGCTTGGACCTGGCTGCTGCAGAGCATAAACTGAACAGAAAAAGGCACCTCTTCTCAGATCAGTAGCAAGTTCTACTTCAGTGGGTTCAGTTAATGGGGTCCTCGGGTCTTCTCTTGCTTCAGGAGCAGGTCAGTCCAATCCTGTTTGTTATTCTGTGGGTCACCTGAACAGCTTGCTGGTAGGGAACGGTGAATGAGCTTGGCATGGGCTGTGGGGCTAGAGAAGACTGATTTGTGCTTCAAAGAGGAGGTTTGAGAACAGCCACAAGATATGCTAATTAATGAGAAGCATACTCTGAGCACAGATCACAGTCTCCACATCTCTGCTTGTTTGCCAATGTGTTGTCTAAGACATTAATACTTTAAGAGTGGTACAGCAGCTGGCAGTTAAACAGAGCCATGTTAAACAGTGGTGGTGTTGGGTCTGGGAGCCAAGAGGATGATGGCAGTACCTGGTGGGGTATAAGAAACATCTTGGCTTGCAGTCACAGCATGAGACCAGCTGGAAGGACCTCCAGAAGTGGTAATCAGGTCCAGCCTGGCCTTTTCTCCTAGGGTGCTAAAGCTGCAGCTTCTGGATGCCTCCCTTTGGCTGCTTGCTTTGTAGCTGTCATGCTGGGAGAGGCTGAGCAGAGATGAGAAGAGGGCCTGAAGCTGAGAGAGATGGGCAGGAAGTACTGCTTCAATCTCTTAATATGGGGAGATTTATGCCCCATCTTTCACAAATTGACTAGATTTAGAAATGAGGTGGTGCTTCATGTGGCTCAGTGCCTACCCGGCTGGAGTATGCATCAACTTTTGCTCATAAATATGCAAGCTGTTAATACATGACAGGCAGAGCCATTCTGCATTATTTTTGTGGCAGGATATTCTCAGGACATCTTTGAAGTTAAAGCATGAACTTCTTTTTTTTTTTTCTTCCATTCTGTTTCACAAATGTCTCTTTGCTCCCTCAGGAATGATGAGGAGGTAACATTTTCCTTCAGTGGGTCTAACTGCTCCATTCCACATAGGAAAACAAATTGTCCTAACAGTAATTAGGCTCCGAACGGGATAGTAATTTCTTTAATGACTTTCTTCAAGGCAGTCTTTGGGGAGTTGACTTTTGTTTTCCTGCACTTGGTAAAAAAGTTGCTTAAATGTTTTTAGACTGCTCGATCCCTCCTCCGTGTGAGCTACAGCCAAACAGTGTGGGGCTGGCTTTGCACCACAGTGGAATAGGTGGGTAACCACGCAAGGGAGCTCTGCTCACAACTCCTCCTCTTCTTCCCTCTGCCTTCAGCCTCTGCCTGCACTGAGGGAACAGATTAGGAAGGAAAAGGGGTCAGATGTGGAAGGGAGACCTTGACCCACAGCCACCCTCTCCCTCCAAGCCTCTGCCTCCTACACTGGTTGCCTCATCAATCTTTGGGCACTGCTGTTTGTCCTCTCACTTTGCTTGCTACTGCCACAGGATTGAGATTTTCTACTGCCAAGGAGGATGAGTTGTCCCTCTTCCACAAAGTTAAAAATTGAGTCGTGCCTCCATGCCTCAGAAGCTTTGAGCTGTCTCTGCCTCCTGGTATTGGTACTGCAGAGCACTGAATGGTCCTCCTGTATTTCTAAGTAAAGCATGATTTCGGGTAGTGACAGCATTAGGAAATGATTTAAGGTTTGAATTCTAGACGAAATGCATTTGTAAATATTAACCTCAAAAGAAGCATATGCCCCTTACATGTTCTAAGGAATACAAATATTTTTGTCCTCAAAAAGTGGTGGAACCAAAACATTTTCAGCTTTTTTAAGTCAGCCTTGAATTTAAAGTGAATAAAGGCTCAAGTACCTAAAAATAAATTACTTTCACTATGTCTGTAATTCTTTATGGAGTTTTAAATTGAAGACTTTTCCCTTGAAAATAGAGGAATGACAAAGACTCATTCTCTTGCCACTTTCACTCAATATATCTGGAAACAAGTCTGCTGCTGAAGATGAAAATCCTATTTTTGTGCCTTCTTTCACTTTGCAGAGGTTTGTGCTTTGGTCTTTGAACAACCAGCCTGTCTGGCCTCCTGCCCCCATGTCCTTAGACTTATTCTCTGCTTTTTACAGTACTTCTACTCCTCATGCTTTTCAGCTTTCTATTCGGCATTTTGCACAAAGCACTGA